GCTCGAGGACGAGTCCCAAGGCAGAGTGGGGCGAGTAAATTCCGTTAGCGGTCGGTGAAAGTTAATTAAAAAGCCATCGAATTGTCAAACTGACCAGTTAGGATGGCTCAGGCATATGCTACGTCGATCGTGTCCAACTATGGTTGATAGGGGGTGTTGATTTGGTCGAAGGCAGGCGTAGAAGGAGGCCGTAGGAATCAACAAGGAGTTCATCTTTTTCCCTTCGGATACAGGTATCTGAGTGGGCGTACCAGTTCACCTCGAAATCTGTCGCCATCGTCTGCAATGGAGGACCGACCGACTTGTCATTGCAACAAAGTAATTTGTACAGGAGTAGCCTCCCGCCGATCCATTAAGTTCCCCTAGAATTTAAGTTCGGGGTGCGTTGCAGAGGTCCGAACAAGTAACCGCCTGCCAGGTCGTTAGATTATTTTTGGTTGAATACAAGTATAATAAGACCAAAGCGGTCCTGTATCAGTCCACACGTGTTTGTGTGTGTGGTTACTTCCCCTGCTGGAGGGTCGTTTTCTTTATAATCTGCATTAACCATTTCGTTTCATTCGGAAGCAGTCCTGTATTCATGGATTCTGTGATTTATTTTCAGATAATCATGTCTGCGCGTGTTGTTGTGGACTCTACTGTCGTCGTTTCTTCTATCGCCAGTGGGTTTTTTACATCCAATCTCAACATGCCGATAATAGATTGTCGGGACCCTGAAACAGGGTCAAACCGTAGTCTGTCGGAGGTTAATTACAGGATTAGACGTGTCCACCAACCCCTTTAGCACACCGTTTAGGGTTTTCGATTTGTGGTTTTGCTGCTAAAGAACATCTGTTTAATGCCGAGCAACAGTAAGACTTTGCCTCACTTGGTAAAAAATATCTCTCCCGCTCTGTACAATCTAACAGACACTTAATTCATTTCACATCGGTGGAGTAGATATGTTCGCCAGCGTTCTTTAGCGCAACTCAGACTGCAATGTGCGTTTTACTTTACAACTTACTGTAATTGCTGCTTTTTCTCTCTTCGTCTAGATGTCTCTCAAGGACAGTTTCGTCAGTAAAGAAAAGAACACAAAGAAGAACGGCAAGCTGCCTCTTTCGCGTCCTCGGACGAATCTCCGCGAGCTCGCCAAAGACTCCCCCACTGACGGTTCTGCGCGCAAGCTGGGTGGCACAAGCACGCCTAGTGCGGCCACTGAATCGATCAGACCAGTCAGTACCTTTTCTCATCAACGTCTTTATGCACCAAGCTAGAAAACGCTAATAGGCCTATTTGCATTTGGTTTGCCGTATAGCTAATGTGCACCAAGCATGGCTTGGAAGCTTGCCAACTGCCGGACCTCGCATTCTGCTCAGTGCGTGTTTGTGTGGAATGGTCGACTGGTGTACTGGAAATCAGGCTGCAATGGCTCCTTACTGTGTTCCTAGGGCACTGTCACTCAGTGTGATCTAAGCCGGTGTGACGTCAAGCTTAGGGGACAGCTCTGGCCACGCCAGCAACCGGCGCCCCCCCCCCCAACTTTAGTCTTCTTGACTTGGTAATGACACCGGACACATGTTGGGATGGGGAGAAGAGAGCGAACGAACGAACGAAGTAGATGCAGCGAAAGGATACTATAAATATAATTTTATTCGTGCAAGTCACTGTCCCTGTGCCATCATGCTGCGATCTGCCGTAGGTATCAAGAGCATGCAGTGACTGCCAGCAGTCAGTAGCGTTTTATAGAGTGCAGTATAAGCCTAGTCACAGATTTTGGTGTTTTTAGTGCTGCCTCATTGTTTCCACTCGCTAACAACCACTCGCATACATCAATCACAGCAGACGCTTCTGGCAGATCGTAATAATAAGGTTAATGTCAAAGACGATTTAAAGAGCTCAAGCACTCCTTAGAGCACGCGCCTCGCAGGTGGCAATTGTATCTGCTCAGCAGTAACTTCAACTCATAATCTTCACCTCAGTTACCTCACCTTTTTTACCACTTCTTTAAATGAGCCTGCCTTTACCGAATCTGCTTTGGAGCCTATTATATCTACTAGAAAAGGCTTTAGGGCTGATTCAATAAACCTTGTGCAGTCCTATTCGAAGGTCGTTCCGCATTGAACTTCCCCGAAACTCTTGCGCCTTTTCTGTGGACCTGTTGAGGTGAATGGTCGCATTCCAGGCGTGTCTCTAAATATAAGAAGACTGATTGGTTAACCATTCGTCTGGGTTTTAAAACTAGTTCAGGAATCAATTGTCAGAGACAAACCGGGCAACAAGCGCAGTAGTTAAGGAGAGTGGGGATTTGAACCAATCAAACATCAGTAACTGTAGTCCGGGACGACTGCGGAGGGCTATGTATGCCGGCGCCAGATCTAAATATCGATTGCTTGGTTTGTTG